CCGCCGCCGACCCGCACCATGATGTGGCTGCGCAGGATCTGCAAGGAGCCGCGCGCCCGTGAGCCGGCGGAGGTGCGTGCGACCCAGACGTGTGTTTGCGTGTGCCCCATCCGGGGGGTTAAGCAAGCTGCGGGCTCCTGCTGCTCAGTAAGACCTGAGCTCTGGGACGGCAGGTTTTAGCCTGCACATATGGACAGTTATGTCCATGCAAACACGTGCCCACAGGCACCTGGCAAACTCCACGCTGGCCCGGGGCATCTGCAGACCGATATGTGCCAGCGGGGCGACGTGAACTCACCCGGACAAAGATGAGGGTGTTGGAGTCTCCCACACGGTATTTCCCCTCTGACACCTTGATCATTGCGAACTGCACGGGGCAGGTGCAGCGGCTCACCAGGCGCCGGACCTGCCGGCACCGGGACACGTCCCCACAGGGATCCCCGTGTCCCCCGCACACCCCCACCTCCCCGTTTCCCGGTGCCCCAGCAGCTGCTCTACCATCTGGTCCAGGTTCTGGAGGTCCTGGGGTCTCCGCAGGGGCCGGGGTGGCGGGGCCTCCCCCAGCAGCAGGTCCAGCTCCTCGCGCAGCTCCTCCTCGATCTCCTCCTCCATCTGGACAAGGGTCGGGGCGCTCATGCCGAAGCGGGACGCCCGGCGTGCCAGCTCCAGCAGGCACAGCACAAAATTCTTCTCGTTCTTCCTCAGCACCAGGTCCTCCGTCTCAAACATCAGCACCTCTGGGCAGGGGGAGCGAGGAAGACCAGGGTGGGCAAGGGCACCAGCAGAAGGGACAGGGACGAAGGGGACAGAGGTCCTGGTGGAGCCGTGCTGGCTCAGGCCAAACCAACTCAGGGATGGTCTCCCTGGAGCAGGAGCCCTGGCACTCCTTGCCACGCTGTCCAGAGGGCCTAACAACGTGCGTGGGTCCAGAAGGGGTTTGGGTGAATTTGTGGAGAAAACAATCCACCTTGGGTATTTACACGCAAAGACGCTGTTTTGCAGCATCCCAAAGCCACAAAATACCGGCAGGTGGGTACCCTGGGACGAACCACGCCATGCCCATCCTGCAGCGATGCCCACGGTCCTCCTGGGATGCCCGCCGTTGGCAGGGATGGGGGAGCAGGACTTTGCTCAGCCTGGATGCCTGCCCTGATGTCCTTCAGGACGAGCTCGTGTCAGGGACGGGCGACCACATACGCCCTTTCCAATTCCATTTCCACAGCACATTTTTGCACCCGAGCGAACACAGCCGCCGCGGCACGGCTGGCTCCAGCCCTGCGGCTGCTGGGGGTGGCCAAGCAGCTGGGTGTGCATGGGGGGGAAAAACTTTGGGGAATAAAAAGAAAGTGGGGTGATGGCCAGAGCTGGCGGAGGGGAATTGCACACCCAACGTTGGGACAGGCGAGCGGCTGGCTCCAGCGTCGCACCGCGGTGCTTACCTTTAATATCCATCTCCTTCCTGCACCACTGGATGAAGTTGGAGACGTTGTCCCTGGCCTGGAAGGTGCCAGGCTGGGCCGCGTCGTTGTAGGTG